TAAAGTGATGAAAGGGAAGAAACTACAACCAAGATTACTCTACCCAGCAAGGATCTCATTCAGATTCGATGGAGAAATCAAAAGCTTTACAGACAAGCAAAAGCTAAGAGAATTCAGCACCACCAAACCAGATCTACAACAAATGCTAAAGGAACTTCTCTAGGCAGGAAACAAAAGAGGAGAAAAGGACCTACAATAACAAACCCATAACAATAAAGAAAATGGTAATAGGAACATACATATGGGTAATTACCTTAAACATGAATGGATTAAATGCTCCAACCAAAAGACACAGGCTCACTGAATGGATACAAAAACAAGACCCATATACATTGTCTACAAGAGACCAACTTCAGACCTAGGGACACATACAGACTGAAAGTGAGGGGATGGAAAAAGATTTTCCACGCAAATGGAAATCAAAAGAAAGCTGGAGTAGCAATATGCATATAAGATAAAATAGACTTTAAAATAAAGAATGTTACAAGAGACAAGGAAGGACACTACATAATGATCAAGGGATCAATCCAAGAAGAAGATATAACAATTATAAATATATATGCACCCAACATAGGAGCACCTGAATACATAAGGCAACTGCTAACAGCCATAAAAGAAGAAATTGACAGTAACACAATAATAGTGGCAGATATTAACACCTCACTTACACCAATGGACAGATCATCCAGACAGAAATTAATAAGGAAAGAGAAGCTTTAAATGACACAATAGACCAGATAGATTTAATTGATATTTATAGGACATTCCATCCAAAAACAGCAGATTACACTTTCTTCTCAAGTGTCCACGGAACATTTGCCAGGATAGATCACATCTTGGGTCACAAATCAAGCCTCGGTAAATATAAGAAAACTGAAATCATATCAAGCATCTTTTCTGACCACAACACTATGAGATTAGAAATCAATTACAGGGAAAAAAAACGTAAAAAACACAAACACATGGAGGCAAACAATACATTACTAAATAACCAAGAGATCACTGAAGAAATCAAAGAGGAAATCAAAAACACCCTAGAGACAAATGACAATGAAAAAACGATGATCCAAAACCTACAGAATGCAGCAAAAGCAGTGCTAAGAGGGAAGTTTATAGCGATAAAATCTTACCTCAGGAAACAAGAAAAATCTCCAATAAACAATCTAAACTTACACCTAAAGGAACTAGAGAAAGAACACACAAAACCCAAAGTTAGCAGAAGGAAAGAAATCATAAATATCAGAGCAGAAATAAATGAAATAGAAACAAAGAAAACAAGAGCAAAGATCAAGAAAACTAAAAGCTGGTTATTTGAGTAGATAAACAAAATTGATAAACATTTAGCCAGATTCATCAAGAAAAAGAGGGAGGGGACTCAAATAAAATTAGAAATGAAAAAGGAGAAGTTACAACAGACACCGCAGAAACACAAAGCATCCTAAGAGACTACTACAAGCAACTCTATGCCAATAAAATGGAAAACCTGGAAGAAATGGACAAGTTCTTAGAAAGGTATAATCTTCCAAGACTGAACCAGGAAGAGATAGAAAATATGAACAGACCAATCACAAGTAATGAAATTGAAACTGTGATTAAAAATCTTCCAACAAACAAAAGTCCTGTACCAGATGGCTTCACAGGTGAATTCCATCAAATATTTAGAGAAGAGCTAATACCCATCTTTCTCAAACTCTTCCAAAAATTGCAGAGGAAGGAACACTCCCAAACTCATTCTACGAGGCCACCATCAGCCTGATACCAACACCAGACAGAGATACTACAAGAAAAGAAAATTACAGACCAATATCACTGATGCAATAAACAGAATATGGATCAAAAATCCTCAACAAAATACTAGCAAACAGAATCCAACAACACATTAAAAAGATCATACACATGATCAAGTGGGATTTACCCCAGGGATGCAAGGATTCTTCAACATACACAAATCAATCAATGTGATACACCATATTAACAAACTGAAGGAGAAAAACCATATGGTCATCTCAATAGATGCAGAAAAAGCTTTTGCCAAAAGTCAACACCCATTTATGATAAAAACTCTCCAGAAAGTGGGCATAGAGGGAACCTACCTCAACATAATAAAGGCCATATACGACAAACCCATAGCAAACATCATTCTCAATGGTGAAAAACTGAAAGCATTTCCTCTAAAATCAGGTACAAGACAAGGACGTCCACTTTCACCATTATTATTCAACATAGTTTTGGAAGTCCTAGCCACAGCAATCAGAGAAAAAAAAAAGAAATAAAAGGAATCCAAATTGGAAACGAAGAAGTAAAACTGTCACTTTTTGCTGATGACATGATACTATACATAGAGAATCCTAAAGATGCCACCAGAAAACTACTAGAGCTAATCAATGAGTTTGGTGAAGTTGCAGGGTACAAAATTAATGCACAGAAATCTCTTGCATTCCTATACAATAACAATGAAAGATCAGAAAGAGAAATTAAGGAAACAATCCCATTCAGCATTGCAACAAAAAGAATAAAATACCTAGGAATAAACCTACCTAAGGAGACAAAAGACGTGTATGCAGAACACTGTAAGAGATTAATGAAAGAAATCAAAGATGACACAAACAGATGGAGAGATATACCGTGTTCTTGGATTGGAAGAACCAATATTGTGAAAATCACTAAGGTACACTAAGCAATCTACAGATTCAATGCAATCCCTATCAAATTACCAGTGGCATTTTTTTACAGAACTATAACAAAAAATCTTAAAATCTTTATGGAGACACAAAAGATCCCGAATAGCAAAGCAGTCTTGAGGGAAAAAAACGGAGCTGGAGGAATCAGACTCTCTGACTTCAGACTATACTACAAAGCTACAGTAATCATATAATACGGTGCTGGCACTAAAACAGAAATATAGATCAATGGAACAGGATAGAAAGCCCAGAGATAAACCCATGCACCTATGGTCAACCAATCTATGACAAAGGAGGCAAGGATATACAATGGAGAAAAGACAGTCTCTTCAATAAGTGGTACTAGGAATACTGGACAGCTACAAAGAATGAAATTAGAACACTTTCTAACTCCATACACAAAAATAAACTCAAAATGGATTACAGACCTAAATGTAAGACTGGACACTATAAAACTATTAGAGGAAAACATAGCAAGAACACTCTTTGACATAAATCACAGCAAGATCTTTTTTGACCCACGTCCTAGAGTAATGGAAAGAAAAACAAAAATAAACAAATGGGACCTAATGAAACTTAAAAGCTTTTGCACAGCAAAGGCAACTATAAACAAAATGAAAAGACAACCCTCAGAATGGGAGAAAATATTTGCAAACGAATCAACGGACAAAGGATTAATCTCCAAAATATATAAACAGCTCTTGCAGCTCAGTATTAAAAAAACAAACAACCCGGGCTTCCCTGGTGGCGCAGTGGTTGAGAGTCCGCCTGCCGATGCAGGGGATACGGGTTCGTGCCCCGGTCCAGGAGGATCCCACATGCCGCGGAGCAGCTGGGCCCATGAGCCATGGCCGCTGAGCCTGTGCGGCCGGAGCCTGTGCTCCACAACGGGAGAGACCACAACAGTGAGAGGCCCGCGTACCGCAAAACAAAAACAAAAACAAACAACCCAATCCAAAAATGGGCAGAAGACCTAAATAGACATCTCTCCAAAGAGGACATACAGATGGCCAAAAGGCACATGAAAAGCTGTTCAACATCACTAATTATTAGAGAAATGCAAATCAAAACTACAATGAGGTATCACCAGACCAGTTAGAATGAGCATCATCAGAAAATCTACAAACAATAAATGCTGGAGAGGGTGTGGAGAAATGGGAACCCCCTTGCACTGTTGGTAGGAATGTAAATTGATACAGCCACTATGGAGAACAGTATGGAGGCTCCTTAAAAAACTAAAAATAGAATTACCATATGACCTAGCAATCCCACTACTGGGCATATACCCAGAGAAAACCATAATTCAAAAAGACACATGCACTCCAATGTTCATTGCAGCACTAATTACAATAGCCAGGTCATGGAAGCAACCTAAATGCCCACTGACAGATGAATGGATAAAGTAGATATGGTATGTATATACAATGGGATATTACTCAGCCATAAAAAGGAATGAAATTGGTTCACTTGTAGAGACGTGGATGGACCTAGAGACTGTCATACAGAGTGAAGTAAGTCAGAAAGAGAAAAACAAATATCATATATTAATGCATATATGTGGAACCCAGAAAAATGGTACAGATGAACCAGTTTGCAGGGCATAAATAGAGACACAGATGTAGAGAACAAACATGTGGACACCAAGGCGGGAAAGTGGGGTGGTGGTGGTGGGATGAATTGGGAGATCGGGATTGACATATATACACTAATATGTGTAAAACAGATAACTAGTAAGAACCTGCTCTGTAAAAAATAAATAGACAAAATTAAATTTAAAAAAAACAAATTCAACGGATATTTGTTGAATTCCTACTATGTACAAGGCATTATGCTAGGTTTTACAAGGGACACAAAGGTGAATGATAGTCTCTGCTCTCAAGGAATTTACTGCTGTCCCTTGGTATCTGAAGGGGATTGGTTCCAAGACCCCAGCAGACACCAAAATCTGAGGATGCTCAAGCCCCTTACATAAAATGGCACAGTATTTGCAAATAACTTATGCACATCCTCCCATATACTTTAAATCATCTCTAGATTACTTATAATACTTAATACAATGTAAATACTATGTAAATAGTTGCCTGTGTGTGGCAAATACAAGTTTTACTTTCTGGAACTTTCCAGAATCTTTTTTTTCCTGATCCACAGGTTGTTGAATTCACAGATATGGAGGGCTGACTGTATAATCCAATAGATCTAATAGTATAAACTGAACATACAACATATTATTGAATATCTTGCTATTAAAAGTAGACATTTCTACTTCTTGTATTAATAATAAAACTATTGAGTACAATTTATATTTGCACAAATTTTTACCTGTTTGTTTGCAAACACAACCAGAGGAAGGATTGGATTTGTCCCAATTAGTTGATGAAGGTGCTTCTTGGCTTCAGGTAATCTGTTGTGATCTGCTGAATCCACCACAAAGATTAGCAGCAATCCCTTGGACAGGTACATTTCCCAACAGGAACGGAAAGGTTCGCTGCCACCAACTACAAAGAACAGTAGAGAAGGAAGACACACACACAAACCTCAGAAGAGTCCACTGAGGGGGGCAGGAAAGACACATTTTGATAATTCCTGAACACTGGATACATATTCTGATAAAAGACCTCTGTGAGACTCTACCCAATTCTTCAAACAACCTGAGCGATGTTACTGGGGAAATGATTGGTGGGAATAGTTACCCTCCACAAGCGGGTCACTCATTCTGGAACACAAAGGACCAGCATAAAGATCTTAAATTTGTGCTACAGTGGATGCCTCCTGATCTGTTATACACAGCAGCCACGATGGCCAATGCCTGTCTGTCAGGTATAGCTCAGCGAATGGGAGTAGGATACTAAAATAATTCAGGGTGGTGGGTTAAAACACATATTTCTCTAAAATAAGTTTTAAATGGACTGATTTAAATGTCATTGGCTAGCCTCACTTGCACAACTTTTTTCCTTTGTCAAAATCCCAGAACTAATTTCCTCTCTTAATCTTGCACAAAGAATTAATATGATCCTGTGGGCATTCAGGAATACTTGCTTCAGAAAAAATTCCTTTGGGTTATTTCATTCTGCTGATTCTTCCCAGAAGAAACTTTTTGGAATGATAATAATACATACACAATGAATTCAGTTTTTATTTTTCTCCTGGGACAGAATATGACAAGCAATGGCCCACAGCCTAAATCTGGCTCACTGCCTATTTTTGTACAGCCCACGAACAAAAAATGGATTCTACCTTTTTAAATGTTTGGGGAAAAAAAGAATACCATTTTGTAACACATGAACATTATATCACATTTGGATTTCAGTACAAATAAAGTTGTATGAGAACACAGGCACATAGATTTGTGCACATATGGTCTCTGGCTGCTTTCGCAGCACAACTGCAGGGTTGAGTAGCTGCACAGAGCCCACGCGGCCACAAAGTCTACATTAGCTACTCTAGAGCCCTCTGCAGAAAAAGTGTGCAGACTCCTGTTGTAGGGACTTAACAATACCATTTAAAAAACGAATAGGAAAGGGTGTTGATTTGTCTTTGTTTTCTTTTGTATGGAGAGCCAGGCTAGTCATTCTTTGAAGTATTTTGTGTTTTTAATTTTTTTTTTTTTTTTTTGCTGTATGCGGGCCTCTCACTGCTGTGGCCTCTCCCGTTGCGGAGCACAGACTCCGGACGCGCAGGCCCAGCGGCCATGGCTCACGGGCCCAGCCACTCCGCGGCATGCGGGATCCTCCCAGACCGGGGCACGAACCCGTGTCCCCTGCATCGGCAGGCGGACTCTCAACCACTGCGCCACCAGGGAAGCCCTGTGTTTTTAATTTTTTTAAAGAATGTGTATAATCCAAGTAATTCATATGGTTTTAACATATGTAGTTTAAAGATGAATGAACATGTCGTTCCCCATGTTTTTGGCAACACCATGACATTTCACCTACATAGGGATTGCTATCTTTTAGGTATTAACTTCTAACTTGACAGCAACGTAGTTGAGAACACAGTTTGTATGATGCATCCTCTTTGAAAACTTTGTTAAGACTTGCTGTATGGCCCAGTAAGCGGTCATTGCTGGTAATTGTTCTGTGAGTGTTTGAGAAGAATGTGAATTTTAACTTTTATATGTGGCTAAAATTGTCTAATTGGACAATTTTATATTATTCACTAGATCGAACTTGTTGACTGTGTTCAAATTTTATATATCTCTGCAGATATCTTTTCTCCTTGATCTTATTAATAATTGACAAAGATATGTTGAAACCCCTCACTCCAATGGCAGATCTGTCCATTTCTCCCCCTAACTGGAGTTTTCTTTTTTCTTCCTATCTCCCTTTCTTTTTTCCCTTCCCTTTCCTTTCCTTCCCTTTTTTCTTTTCACTTTTTATATTTTGAGACTTTTGTTAGCCATCCATTTCATTAAAAATATTATTTCTTCCATAGCTTCTGGGGAAATTGAGAACTCTATTCTTAACAATGCTTTTATCATAAAGATTTGCCTGCAGGTTTACCAATTTCTCTGCCCACCATTTTCTCTTCGCAACTGAATGAAAGCAAAAATTCATAGCATTTTACTTGCAGGCTGGAGGTGGGGTACAAAAGGGGGTACAGAAAACTCCCAGTTTTCTGGCTTGAGCATGTTGATGGGTGAGGAGACATTTACTGACCAGTTGGATTACAAGGGAAAGGAACAGATACGGAGATATATCAAACATTTTGTCTTGATGATATTAGGCTTGAGAGGCCAGTGAGACAGCCAGGTAGAGATGTCAGGCAACATGTGGATATATTTGGCTGGAGAGATAAATTTGGGAGTCATTAGCATATATATAGTATTTAATGTCAAGAGGAAAGGTGAAATCATCCTAGGAGAGAGTGTAAAGAGGGGACAAGAGGATCTAATGCAACTTTGGGGTACAGCAATATTTTGAGAGGTGGTGACTCCAGAACTGCCAGAGGAGGGGTTTCTGGGTTGCCATCTGGTTACAAGAGGTTTGGAGCTTACCTCTATTTGCATTTGCAGAGAAGGAAACACACTGTATTTACTTAGATTGCATTTTTTTTGGGGTAGTAAGGGAGGAGGGAGGCTGTTATAGGAGGGGTGCGAAAGCCTTCCCCTCAACTCCCCTTTATCACCACCACTGCAAAAAGAAGAAAATGAAAAGAACAGAAAGTGATTCCCACACTGTACCCAAGCACTAAACTATACATGCATTCTGAAAATCTAGGAAAATCTGACCCAGTGTTTCATTTCACAAGGACCCAATGTTGATAACATTAAATCTGGCTTAAGGTATAACAATAATGTGGCTATAGGCTATCGGTTATCCCCAGAACTACTGAGAAATACAGCTTACTCTCCAGGAACTCCAACTGGCTGTCTTCAGTGCTGATGCACAGTGCACTGAAACCTTGGGTTGGTGCCACGCTGTGCTGGACTCTGTTTAAAGCTAGAGAGTGGAGAACACTGGTCTTTCCTGCTCCATCCAGGCCCAGCACTAGGATCTTATTTTTCTCCTGTGAAACAAAAGATAAGTCAATAAAGCTATGCTATCAGGGCCTGGTTTTCCTGGCTCCTGGCAGTGTGCCTGCCAATAATATTGTGGAATTGTAAACCAGAACAAAACATCGCAAAACATTTAATAGGTCTAGAACAAACTGTACCAGTCAGTTTGTATTTTATATAATCAGCTATCAGTTATGTGATATTAATTGCATACCCCCTCTCCATCCCCCAACTCCTGGTCAATCTATCAAATAAATACTTTATATATATATATCAGGATTTATGGGAGGTGCCATATTTTCAGGGTCAATTTTCAAACTTCACTTTGCTTCCTGAGTTCATGTCTATTGGAGACTGCAACAGAATTCAATTTGTTGTATGGGGTCTTGCGCCCTACTTGTTCCATATATTGACTTTGTCACTCAGCGTGTAAGCATCTAAGGTTTCATATTATTAATCTGTCTTGTCTTCCCAGTTGAATCACTAGATTAAAAGCTCTTAGGGCAAGGTTACCCTCATAAATGAAAAGGAGAAGATTATAGAAACTGTTAAACCAGTTCCAATCACAATTGAGTATTTAAAAATCTGACGCTAAAGCCTGATGAACTAGATGTAAACTGTAGGAAGAAGCATTCTACCAACATACCAACCGTAGAAAATTTTATGACAAGTGACTGAGGGGCAAGAAGGGCAGGCTGGTATGAAGACAGAAATAGAAATTTCAGAGTGCTCAGAAAGGTGACTTTTAGGGTACAAACTTTAATGTAAACAGTAATAAATGAGCAACAATCCAGCCAGACTACTCACAGGAATTCTATTTCTCAAACAGCCTACTAAAGAGATTTCTCATGCATAAAAAACACTAATAAATGTCTTCAGTGGCATTGGTTTAAAAATAATAATCTTATACATTTCTGCTTGAACACTAAATGTTGACATTAGACTTAGACTGGATTTCTGTTTAAAAAAAAAAAAAGTGATCCTAAATAGCACTAAATGTCTATCCCCCCTCCCCCCTCTTTTTTTTTTTTTTTCTAATATATAAGATCTATGTCAAAGTAAGATGGTTTAAGGTCTGGTCTAATAGGGTCTTTTGTACAGGGCAGCATTTAATAAACCTGTCTAGTGAATAACAGAATGTTTGTTTTTGGAGTGAATTCTTGATGGCTCTTAAAGCAAAAGGTATTTCCATAGGTGTTTCCTCTCCCCATCCCCACTTCCTCCCGGTTCCCTCTTACCCACACCTAAATGTCATAGTGTCATTCTGAGAGAGTGATGGTAAGGAAGAGGGACTTGATGCATGAAGGGGATGCTTTAAAGCAATGATGCCACCAAGAATTGGCTGCAAGTTGTGGATTGTGTCCCTCTCATTATCTCCACCAATGGCTCTACTCAGGCTATCCCAACATATTTCATCAGTTCCAAGATGCTGTTTGTTTTCTGGGTTTTTTTTCCCTCACATTTTAACATCTCTGAAATAAGGACTTTACAATCTATGGTATATCATATTTTGGTTGGAAGCATTTTTTTTCTTTGTTTGTGTTACCTAAAATAATGGCACCTTAGATCCTATGAAATTTTGTGAATAAAAACAGTTCCCTACTCCCTTTCCAACCATATCGCTGCTCCTAAACCCCTAGAAATTCTGCAGTCATTGATGCTTTACATTTTGCTTATTTTTTAGTCTAAAATACAAGCCTCCTCATATTTATAATCTCTTAAGAAAAGCTGGGGTTACTGTAAACCAGGAGTTCAGACCCGAAATGTGATTCTCAACAACACTGTTCCTTGCAAAAGTTATTCATTTAACTATATGTGAACCTATGTAGTCTGTGTTTTACCAGAGATCAAATCTCCATTAATAATTCACATTGTTTAGAACCAGAAAGCAGCTCTGAGCTCAGGAACTCCAGGAGCACAGAGCCCACTGAGCTGATCCAAATAATGCCTGTTTTTCCTTCTTCCCCCTCAATTTTTAAATCGTAGTAAAATACACAACATAAAATTTACCATCATAACCATTCTTAAACATACGGTGATATTAAATCCATTCATAATATTGTGCAACCATCACCACTAACCATCTCCAAAACTGTTCATCTTGTAAGATTGAAACTGTACTCATTAAACTCGAACTCCTCACTCCCCCTTCCCCCAGGCCCCACCATTCTATTCTCTACGATTCTGACTACTCTAGGTACATCATATACGTGGAATCATAGGTATTTGTCCTTTTGTGACTGCAGTGCCTGGTTTCTGAGACCTCTCAGTTAAACCTTTGTGCCCGTCCCTTCTGGGCGCTGGTGGTCTGAAAACAATGGAAGTAGTAACCTCAGCGCCCACAGAAAATGTCCAGAGGGACCCAAAACACATTCTGCACAAATTCAGGAACCCTGCACCTTCCCACATGGAACTTACGAAACAGAAAAGATTGGGAGAGCGCATGTGTGGTGAGGGTTTGGGGCTGGTTTCAGTGTCGTGGGCGGACTGGGAGCTAGCGTTGGGCGTCGGACAGAGATGGGGCTGGAAAGAGGGCTGTTCCCCGCGCTCCCGTGAACCCCACTAAGGCCTCCTCTTCAACACTAGACCTGACGAGATCTGACCTTCCGCAACACTAGACCTAGACCTTGGACGCAGGGTCGGGGTTAGGGGTGAGAGCGGGCAAGGGCCTGGGGAGATGGCGTTCGCAGCTTGGCACACCCGTTCCATCCGCGGTTACAAAGCCCGCACACGAGACCCGATTCCCTCCGGCGCGAGCGCTGGCGCTCCGGCCAGAATGCCGACAACGGCCTTGGGTGAGGGTCTGAGGCATCCGTCTCTTACCAGCAACTCCAGCGGCGGCTTTGCCAACGTGCTGTTGTCCTTTTTCTCTTCTTTCCGTAAATTGCTCCTTCCCCTTCTCCGTCTCCCGCCCTTTCCTCTTTCCC